AGCAGGAACATCTGATGATGAGATGCAAAGACCACACACTTCTATGGTGGAGCTCAAACAGCCTCTCCTACTTTTAGCAGGAAAAGATCCTCCAACATTTCATAGAATCATGCTGAGTTGGAAGGGACCCACCAGGATCATCAAGTCCAACTCCTGTCCCTGATTTAAGCTGCTCAAAGACCAACAAATGTGAGTTTTCCCATAAATACCAAAGCTCTGTGTTAGCCATGGGTTGCCTTCTGGCCATCAAGCCACCAGCAGCCACATCCACCTAAATAACTCATCTCTGGAAGACCTGAGCCCTGCACGGGCATGTGGCAGCCAGGAAATCTTGCACCCATGGAGAGGACACTGGGAAAGGCCACCACAAACTGGATCCAGAGAAGATGTGGTGACAAGCCCAGGCTGCCCTGAAGACCTCATGGGTTGGGGAGATGCTGCCTGTACCAGGGGAAGGTGGGTGCCAAGCCCACTGGCTCAGTGCCTGCCCCAGCTGGAAGCCCCATCACAAATCCCCCAGCCAGGGTCTGGGTGGGCACTTCACTACCAAAACCTCACTACTTGTGTGCTGAAGCAATTCAGGGCAGTAACTAAAATATATATAAAGTCAAAGGAGCAATTTTCCTACAGCCTTTGTGCTTGAGGCACCAAAGTGAAGAGGAACAGGGTGTTTCTGGAGCAGGACAACCCAGTGCTGCGAATGGCCGTGGGTCTCAGAGGAGCCCCAGCTTTGCTATTGCCTGTACACTGGAATTAAAAATATATAGTGAATAAATGTGTGTATAGAGCACTTCCTACACATCCACACACAGGGTGTGTGCTCGGGAATACACACATGTAGTCACACAGTACATACTCACCTCTATTGCTCAAGTATATATGCTGTGTACAGGATAGAGCCATAGAAACATAAACCACAGGTATTTCTAGGTGTGTACAACAGACAGACTCTATTTCTATGTAAACACTACAATCCTATGAACACACACACACACACACTTGCACAGTAGAAAGGAATTTGCAGCCAAGATCTAATTGGGGCAGGGGGAAAAAGACAAAACCTACACAGTAACACGCACAACGTGAGGAAAGTTGGAATTCCTAAGAAAACAAAGGCCTCAGAGAACCAAGGAGGGTGTGGGAGGCTGTGCCCTCCTTCCCTGCCCACCCCTCCTTGCAGGGCTGGAAATGCTTTTTTGCATTTTGCTGCTGGGTGAATTTTTGTGCAACAAGAGGAACCCAGAGGGCTGGGGAGGGTCCCGCAGCGTTAGGGTGAGCCCTGATGAGCAGCAACCACAGCCGGGAGGAACCTCTCCAGGCAGCCCAGCAGGGATGCTCAGGGCAGAGGGGTAACCTGGGCTCTCAGCAATGCAGACACTCAGCTGAAGGGCATCCCACCCACCCTGGCATATTCCTCCTTTCACCCACCAAGTGTTGAACAGCACGATGCCAGGGGTGCTCAGAGACAGTGTTATCATAAGGCATTTAAAAACGAAGACCCTTCCATTGTTCCCCACCCCAAAGGCCAAGTGCTAGGAAAGTAGGAGCTTTGAAAGCCACCAATTTGGGCTCATTATTGTTAGATTATTATTATGACTATTTTATTTTTTTTAAGAAAGCCCCTACAGACCCTCCCTGCCTCACCCAGTGAAGGTCTCACAAGCCTGCACTGACCCAGGGCCCTGGGCTGCCTTTTCCAGGGTGCTGGGTCAAGGTTCAACCAATTCTGGCTAAATTCAGAATATCTCAGTTCCCGCCAGCAAAGTGGTGCAGGGAACACCAAAGGGAAAGCCTCAACCCACCCCAAGCTGGCTCAATCAATCTTCTTGGTTCTCAGGACAAAATAAGCCAGGAAATAAAAAAGTGAAGCTGAGGATGATGGCAGAGACAGAGGGTCCCTCAGCAGCATTTTACACCTTCTGAATATTTCAGGGTAACGTTCTTGTGCTGGGACATCAACCTGCTTTGTGAAGTTTTGAAGCACCCCAAAGACTTCTACAGATTTCACAAGCTTAAGGCTGAGTCCCTCAGGGGGAAAAAAAGTGGAGAAATTAAATGAAAAAAATTGGAGTGCAAAGTAAAAAAAAACAAAACCAAAATAACCCAACAAAACAAAACACAAAACCAAACAAACAACCCCCCCTATTTTTTTCATATTCTCTTAAGGCTCAGTGAAGTTGATGCTTGTTTCAAGTAACCCCTGACCCTACACACCAGGGTCCCTAGGCACAGGCCCAGGGCAATGCATGTTGTCCTCTGGTGGCCAAATAATCATTTTCCAATGATTGACCAAAGCCAAGAGCACAAGGATGACCCTGTCCTGGTGACACTGTCCACACACACACACAGGGAAAGCTCAGGCTCAACTGAGCCAGCGAGAAGGTCTGGCTGCAGCTCTGGGGCTGTGCACCAACCAACGTGCTGGTTTCCCTCTCCAAAACATCCTGCACAGTCCTCCCAATGCCCCAACCTGCCAACCCAAGGAGAAACCCTTCAACAATTTAGGTTGTGGAAAGCTACTGACCATCCTGCCACACCCTTCAGCTCAGCTCCCTGCCAACAACACTGGGCAGGTCCCTCCAAACAGCCCCAGTGCCCCTGGGCCCCGCATGGCACATGGGACACCAGAGCATCTGCCCAAGCAAACATCTGGAGATGCATGGTGCTCACCTGGAATAACACCTTTATTCCAGAAATCTGGAGTGAATAAAACCCATCATGGGACAATTCTGAAAACCCACATAAAGGAACTGTTTGGTGAAGCATTGAAGATGTGCCTGAGTGTTTCTCAGCAGAGGAGGCTTTAACTCAGATCAGGCCTACAAAGGAAAGTTATCCACTCTTTTCCTGTGGATGCTCCAATTCCCCCCTGTCCAGCTGCCACACATCCCACCAACAAAAAATCAGGAAGATTTGAAACTCCATGTCTGGATCCAGCAGCACCAGAAACCACAAATGTTACACCCAGCCCTCCAACACCATGAATGGAGAACTAAACACTGAGCCGTAAGCAGCAAATGTGTTCACATGTCCTGCACACCAGTATGAACCTGTTTGTGTGTCCAACACACCAGTATAAACCTGTTTGCATGTCCTGCACACCAGTATGAACCTGTTTGCATGTCCGACACACCGTGTCCATGATCTCAGGTGCTTGCTTATGACCTCCACGTTAATGCAAAACCCTGTCTGAAACCTGCAAGACCAGCCCAGAACAACCACCCCAGAGGCTGCTCCCAATAAAACCTGCTATTTCTTCGTATAAAAAATTAAACTGGAAGAAGTTTAGAAATGCAAGGAAATCTGAGGCTCTGACCTGTAATAGCAGAGTCCTCTGCAGATGCCTCCTGTCCACCACCACCTGACAGCAGATGCAGCCTGCTCATAGCCAGGTCCTGGGTGACACTGCTGCTGGCACTGTCCCTGCTGCCCTCCATGGAGCTGGGAGTGGCTGTGGGTGCAATTCAGAGGCTGGTGCCACCACCTGCAGCTTTGGCTCAAGCCAGGAGCAAACACACTCCTGCTGCCCCATGGGAAAAGGCCACATCACCTTCCCACAGCAGGACCAGGAGGAAACACTTTGGGGATTTATGCATTTTCAGCACAGTTCTGCTCTGGCTGCTCACTGCACCCGATGGAAAAAACCTGGGAGTCAAATCCACAACAGACAGTGATTTCCACCCTGGGGAGGAAGGAGCTGAGGAAAAACTGCAGGAGGGTCCCAGCAGGGCTTGGGAACCCTCCTGGCCCTGGTGGAGACAACCTGGTGAGGCTCTCAGCTGAGGTGGCCCAGGATGTGCAGGAGCAGCTTCCAGGGAACCATGGGCACGTGTACAAAGTGGATGAGAAAAAGCCAGTGGGGACAGGGAAGAGGCACATCCCTCATCTTGCTGGCCCTGGGGGACAAGGGCTTGGGGCTGGCTCTGATGCAGGGGTGAAGGGACAGCAGCTGCCCTGGAGCAGGGACATGGCAAGGAGGACACCAGGAGTGGTGGGAAAGTCACTGGGGAAAACCAGCCCAGCTGCAATGCAGACCGAAGTCTTGGTGGCAACACCTGCCAGGAGGTGTCCAGAGCAACACTCCCCTGCTCAGGTTTTCTCAGAGCAGCCAGGTTTGGACTGCAGGGAGAAAGGGAAAGTTCAAGCAACTGGATTCTCTTCCCCTTTTCCAACACCAAACAGTCATGCCAGGGGAACACAACCCAATTCCCATCCTACGTCAACACAGGCAACGACAGACAGTGCTCAGGAGGTCTGATGTGAGGAGACAAGCCAGCACCATGCCACGTCTTTTCTCTTTTAATTCCACATTTCACTTTTGTTTATGGTTTTCAGGGCCCTCTCCAAGGAAGCAGCTCATCCATCCCAGCTGTGCCACCAACCTCTGAGCAGAGGACCTGGGCCTGTGGCCGTCAGCACCGCCGCGCTCCGGGGGTACACGGGGGGTCCCCAGGCAGCTCCTTCCACACCAAGAACACCAGCAGGTCACACTTCACCTTGGAGCTGAACGTCAGGAAACTGTCTGAACTCCCTTTCCTCCTGCCCCTCATTCATAAATTTAATAAAATAACAATAACAATAATAATAATTAAAACAAAGGCTTATTGGAGCTGTTTCTGCTCAACTTTCCACAGTCTCTTTTTCATGTCACTCTCTGGAATCAGATTTTTCAAGAAATACTGTGAGAAAAAAAGAATAATAATAATAATTATAATAATAATAATTATAATAATAAAAAGCATCTGGAACCAGCTCAGAAGATTTCTAATGCTTTTCAGCTTGACTGACTTGGAGTGCATTGACCACACCGTTTATATTCTCTTCTGGTACCTGCAAGAGAACAAAAAGCAAGGTCATGCTCTAGCAAAAGCCAGGAGGGATGGAGGGATGACAAGGAAAGGAGAGGCAGGGGATGAAGCCAGACCAGTCCTGAGCAGCCAGGTAGGTTGCTGTTGGACACCTGAACTCTGCTGAGAAAGGAGACATCCTCCAACATGGTACCCCCAGGAGCAAACATGTGAGATCCAGCTGCTCTATATGGTGGGTGCTGGTGGGGAGGGAACAGTTTTGGGGGTTTCCTTTCCTCTTCCTCTTCCCTCCCTTCACTGGCAAAGCTCCTCCTGGGGTGGACAATGCTGCCCCTGTGGGTGGCTGGGTACCATCTCCCCTCTTGGCCCTGCTCCCGAAGGGGCTGTCACTGCTCCAGTGCTGGGTCTGGCTCAGAAGAGCCACAGCCTGTCCAAGGATCACTTAGGATCACCTCCCTTATGGCACTTTCCAACACAGTTTTCACAGAGAGGAGGAAAGGGGGGAAAGCATCCTTGCAGCTCATCTGTCACCACAAATATTCCAGAGACTTGATTTATGCCTCAAAGCCTCAAACTACACACCAGAAGCTCACTCATGTAAGATGGGTGTTCTCATGGGTTCATGTGGCTGCTTGAAGGTCCCATGAAGCTCTCCAGAGCATCCTACAGGTTTGGGACTCATCAATGTGGGTGGGAAGACCACATAGGGTGGCAGTGGGACATGGCCACCAAAGGAAGAAGAGTCAGAGTCACAGAGTGGTCACAGTTGGAAGGGACCTCTGAAGAACATCTAGCCCAATGCCCTGCTAGAGCAGGATCACACAGTAGATCCCACAGGAACACATCCAGACAGGTTCTGAATGTCTCCAGAGAAGGAAGCTCCACAACCTGCCCATGCAGCCTTTCCCAGTGCTGTTACCCTCAGAGAGAAGAAGACTGAGGGAAAAATAAATATCTGTGAGTTGCTGCAAGAAGCCAAAATAATTCACATTAAGTGACTGACTCCGGGAGATACTTGAGTCCTTGGCCAGGAATACCTGGATTCACCAGACACCCTCCAGAGCTCAGACAGTGGATACACATCTGGACAGTGATTTTTTGCAAGGCTTTCAACAAAACTGAGGGGAAAAGAAACAAACATGAGAAACAACAAGAAAATGGTTCAGCTTTCCAATGGGAAGATGGAACAGGAGAGGGTGACTGATGATGTGTGAACAAAAGTTCACACAAAGGTTCACACAAAATGTCAGAAAGGAAGAAAATAATCTCCAAAGAATCCTACAGTGAATCCTACTGGTTTAGGAAGAAAATCCCACCAAACCTCCATTGTAGGAAAGAAGACTTTGAGACAGGATTCTCCACTGCCTCCTCTCCATCATTTTTCCCAGTGTGTTGAACACTGCAGTGGAAGAAGCTGCATGAGTCTTTTCCTCTCCAGAAGATAATGAGCAAAGACCCAGGAATCACTGTTGTAGAAGACATTTGCTTAGCCAGACCCAGTAGGTGAACTCTCCACCTGCTCCTCTAGTGCAGTGCAGAGCAGGAGGCAGCAGAACCAGCAAGTTCTGGCCAGTGGCCTTTGACCTGCATGGACCCACCTCCTCACATCACACAACAGGTCATCCCTCACTCACTGCACAATGCTGGGCTCCCTCAGCAGCAGGGACCTCGTACCAGCCACACTGCAAATGTTTGGGCCAGATTTTCTCCAGGATAGACGTGCAAACAGTTTGGATTTGTAGGACACATCCCAGTTTGCCACCAGTGGGGAAGTCCAACCCTTCTCTGCCCTGCAGAAATGACAGTTCCAATCCCAGGGCAGCTGGTGCAACATATTAACTGGTCAGCTCGAGGGGAGATGGAAGCATCTGCCATGAAGGGAAAAGTAAAGCTCCAAAGTACATCCCAGATGTAAGTTTGTTAGATACAAAATGTTGGTGAAGAAGAGCAAGACATCTCTGAGGATGAGGAAGGAGAGCACAGCACCTGGGAAAGGGACTTTCTCACTTGCTCTCTCTAGAGGGAGCTTGAAACCATAGCTTGCCTCCAGTCTGATCTCATGTCACCCAGGGGACACACCAGAGACCTGGAGGTTCCCAGCTCAGCATTGTATCCTACAGGGATTTCTTCTCAAGCACAGGTTCTGATCTCCAGGGACAACGTTTACAGCTACAGGATTGCAGGAAGACCTGGCAATTAACACCCAGGTCAAATAAAAATTAAGCTACAAAAACCATCTCAAGACGCACAGGAGAATAAAGGTCAGGTCAAAGAGAACAAGAAGCTTTTACAGAGCACTCTAAATTGACAAAAATTATGGAACAACCTTAAAGAAAGAAAGGGAGGATGTAGACCCAAGATGCACTCAGGTCATGAGAAATGTCACAAGGAGTCCAAGTGTCTGGGTAACAAAGGAAGGGAAAACATGACAAAATCTTGGTCAGGGTCTTGGCCAAAACCAGCCTAGAGCTAGTGGGTCCACAGCCCAGCAAGGCCAAGCAAAGAAGGGCTTGAAATTCACCTTCCACAGGATGGAAGGATTTGACAGCTGGAATAGCACTGCCCAGATGAAGAGGCTTTTAAAATCCTAAGAAAAGAAAACAGCAAGTGGCAAGGAAAATGCTGCAAGACTGATTTGGGTAAGGAAGATCTGCAGACTGTAATGCCTGGCCCAGCCAATGCCCTGCCAGCTGCTGGGATCTGCTGGGATGGGATGCAGCAGGATGAGACACTTGGAAAAGGTGGAGCTGCCTGCAGAGTCATCACAATTGCATGGCACAAGTTTTAAGTGAAATACCTATTTCAACTGACAGGGCTTTGGTCCTCCAGGTATCTCCTGACAACCAGAAGCACTCTGCACCTTGTGCTCTGCACTGGGGCCACAACAACAGGCAGGAATGTGAGGCAAAGCTAACAGCATTGATTTTAAAATGGTGTTTTATTAGCTTATCTTATCAGCACAGTTAATATTCAAGAAAAGAAGACAAACACATCTAACACTTTGACCTTTGCTATCTGGAATAATATTTACTTTTACTCTTTACACACATGACCTCTAGGCAGCAAATGGTTCACACCAACTGTGAAAAACCAAAGTAATTAGCTGAAAAAAACCTGCCTTGAACTCGCTGGAGCTTTTACAGGTGAAAAGTAGGACCTGGGCAGTGAATTTAGTGATGAAAGGAGAAGTGTCATGCAAGAAAGGGCACATATAAGAAAAAAAAAACAAGAGCAGAAAGCAGCTGTTTTGTTAAATTTCTTAGCACTGGGGCTACTGACTCCCTCCCTCAGGGCTTGGGCAATGGGCTCCAAGGCAAATGCCATCCTGTTTGTGGCTACAGGCAAAACAACTTTCCCTTTTAAGGGAAATGCCTCATTTTTCAGGGTGTCCCACAGCCAGGGAAGAGCAGAGATAGGCTTAATGCCTAGAAGGTAAAATATCTGCTAGTTTAGAAGACAACTCTGCACTGAGGGCAGGACCCACGTGCTGGTGACTGTGCTCAGCTGCTGTGGGTCCTCATGGACACAAACATGGCAACACCCTCCTCTGTTCAGCACCTTCCCTTGCTCTGCTGCCAATTATTGCTGGTTTATCAAAGGCCAACACCATGAGGAGCCTGGTGCAAAGAGAGCAGGGGATGGGTATCACACCACAAAGGTTAGGGCTGTGGGGGTACCAAGAGAAGAAGGCAGGGGTGTGGTACTAAGAGATTGTCCAAACAGTTTCCACACAGAGGTCGAGGGAAATCATTCTCCCCATCTACTCTGCTCTTGTGAGACCCCACCTGCAGTGCTGTGTCCAGGTCTGGAGCCCCAAATAAAAGAAAGACATGGAGCTCCTGGAGAGAGTCCAGAGGAGGCCACAGAGATGATCCAAGGCTGGAGCAGCTCTGCTATGAAGACAGGCTGGGAGAGTTGGGGTGTTCAGCCTGGAGAAGAGAAGGCTCCAGGGAGACCTTAGAGCACCTTCCAGTGCCTGAAGGGGCTCCAGGAAAGCTGGGGAGGGGCTTCTGATAAGAGCTTGTAGTGAGAGGACAAGGGAGACATTAGGAGGAAATTCTTGAGTGTGAGGGAGGTGAGACCCTGGCCCAGGTTGCCCAGAGAAGCTGTGGCTGCCCCATCCTTGGCAGTGTTGAAGGGCAGGTTGGATGGGGCTTGGAGCAACCTGGGCTGGTGGGAGGTGTCCCTGCCCATGCAGGGGGTTGGAACTGGGTGATCTTTAAGGTCCCTTCCAACCCAAACCATTCTATGATTCTATGATGAAAACAGAGAGGGTTTGTAGCTGTTTCTAATAAAAGATGGTGATGCAGTGGAAGAGGCTGCTTGGGGAGGTTACGAAGTCTCCATCACCACAGTCTTTAGGGCTGTGACCAGCCCTTTGGATGAATGACTCCCCAGTGCTGCTGTGCCTTGGGGTAGGGCTTGGCTTGGAGCAGGAGCCTCTGACCCAGGGCTGGAGAGGGATCTGCTGGGCTGTGTCAGAGCAAAGGCCCTTCAACAAGCTCTCCAGATGGGAAACAAGGTTCTCATTGTGAGTTTTCTCCCAGGGAGAAGGTCTCCTCTATTTCAAAGATACTCACCAACGCGTGGTCAAACTTAAAAGTACTGATGTAGTAGGCTGGGATGTCAGCTGCAGCCAAGGGCTCAGAAATCTGAGCCACAATTCCACATTCATCTGTGGGGGAGACCAAAACTCGGTCACTGTCTGATCAGTCTAATTAAAATTATAGAGGACATGAAAAGAAGATTTTTGCAGACATGAAGTGTTTAACTGTATGACGTGGGTCAAATATTCTTTTGAGCAGGGAAAACATTTGCAGCACTGGATGTGAGACATGTCCATGAACAGGACAGCCACCTGGACTGCTACAAATCTCCTAAAGCCACAGAGCTGCCCCGGACTCCACTGGAGTATGACAGTGCTTTCTGCTTTCTATGATCTACCCCTTTGTCCACTTTTTTATCTTTAAACAGAGATCCAGCTGCAGCTGCCTCCTAAATCCAGCAGATTAATGCAGTTCAGATGGAGCTGCCAAGCATGTAAAACTTAAAAGTCTGACTAATGAGTTAGAAGTCAAGACTCCTCCTGATTGAAAATCACAGCTTGCAAAGTCATATTAAGCTCTTAGAAAGCCTCAGATGGATTTTTCCATCCCTCTTGAAGGCCCTGAGGCAAGTGACTACCTGTGCACCAACTGGCCCCACAAATGTTTACCTACCAAAGCCAAGAGGCTGCCCACCAATCCGCACCATCTTCCAGAGCTCGCCAGATGCACTTGTAAACAACAAATTATTAGGAAATCTGTAAGAGAAAAGGAAAACCAAAGGTGGCAATTAAAGCTCAGCAGTGTGTCAGATGCTGCCTGCAGGGCTGCTGCTGTTCCCTATCCCTGAGCTGCTTGAAGCCAACAAGAAACAGGAGCAGTCGAGGTGAGCAGGACCTGCCTGTCCCTCCACACGTCCAACGTCTGAGGCTGCAAGTGTGTGTAGGCACCCAGGGAGGCAGGGAAAAAGACACCTAAGAAAAAGGCCATGCCCTAGCTTTACAAACCCTGAGATGGTTAATCTGAAGGCTTGATTTGAGCTGCCTTTGGAAACACCCAGGGACAGAGTGTTCCCATACCTGCTCTCTCAGGAACATGACTGGTGAACAGTTTGTGCATCTGAGCATCACCAGTGCTTTTCCATTCCCTCCCTGGGAGGTCCCTGGGAGCCCTGCAGACATCCCCAGTTCTTAGCAGGGCAAAGAAAACCAGTGACTAAAGAGACTTTCTTAAGGTCAAGCCAGCAGCCTGTGACAGAGGGAACAGAAGGCAGGGGTTTGCAAAACAAGTCCCAAGGACAGGCAAGAATCAAACCCAAAAAGAAACAAATCTGTGCAGTGTCCTCTCCAGGCTCCACACCTCTCCCCTCCAGGCTCCAGACCTCCCAGCCTCCTGGATGTGAACTGCAGAAGCACACACACCCCAACAGCCTGATGTTTGTTCCCTGGCTTTCCCCTTGCCAGAGTCATGGGCTCCTGCTGCACAGGGATGACTCAGTGCATCATCATCACAAGGAGACTCCAAGCCCAGCCACGTGGAAAACCAAAGCAGGAGGACAGCATCACTGACATCCACACCCTATTTTTGGCCTTTAGTAGTAAAACCTCAACCTACACCAGATATTTTTTTTTTTAAATTTTGCTCTTAAAAACACACCTAGTGAACAACGGAATAAAAATGTCAAAATCACTTTGCTCCAGTGTCCCTCTTTCCAAAGTGAGAACCCTGTATTACGTTGGGTTGTGACTTCATTGAGGGCTTGGACAGTCAAGCCAAAATTCAGGAGCTAGAGGCAGCATGCCAGACTTCATCCTGAAAAGTGACAAGGTGTACAGGGATGTGGCACCCACACAATGAGCCTCCCAAGAATTAGCATGGAGGAGTTTAAGGTGCTTCTTGGTCCTTTGAAAACATCCCAGGTGCTTTCTGGGGGTCCAGGAGACTCTAAAAACCAAGCTCACCTCTGCTGTGTCTGGACATCCATGACCAAGGAGATGTAACCCTCAATGAGAGAAAAGGAGAAAAAGCGAATATGTCCCGAGTCTTCGTTGCCCACCACTGGGTCTTTTACTCTGCAGAAACAGAAGAGAACCAGCATCAGCTGTGGCCAGAAGAGCAAAGGAAGGCTTGGAAAGCAGAGAGCGCCACTGACACCAGGCATGTCCATACACTGACTTAAAAACATCACACTGAGCCTTGTTGCATTATTGTACTGCTTTTCTTTTTGTGGGTTTTTTATTTCTCAGGGGAACAGAAATGCCAGACCCCTCAGAAATCTCCTGTCCCTGCCTCAAGGTCCTCCCTGTGGGCCAGGAGCTGCAGCACTGATGGGCAGCAGCTCAACTGGCCCTACATCCTCCATTCATCCCTGGGTATGCTGCATGTTGGATGCACTGCTACTCTTAGTTTAAACTTCAACAGGCTCAGCTCTCCAAAGCCAATGGGGTCTTTGGGCATCTTCTCTGTCCTCTTTGGCTCCCACCTGTGCCGTGAATCCTCCCTCTAAAGTGCAGAGCACCACAACAGCATCAGGCCACAGCAGATCCCTGGGCATCTTGGAGGAGCAACACGAATCTGTGCCCACCTCCCCTGGGAGCCTGTGTGCCTGCAGGACCTACCCATTGGAGTAAAACATGACATCCATTAGGAGTGTAGCAACAGTGGGAAGGGTGTCGGGATCCAGGCTGGTGACACAGAACATGTTACTCGGGCTGGAAAGGGGATGAATGACAGGCCTCTGAACTGAAAGAGACACACAGACACACACTGTTATGAAGCCACATCTGCAGCAGGTTCACCTCCCACCCGACATGTTGTCCATGCCACAGAGAAAACTGAGAGTGTTTGTGAAAGTTCCTCACTGCTGGTTCTCAGCCAGGGACCAAGGAGCTTGGGGACAACCTGCTCCTGTGATGTCCTCCCTGGGGCATAGGGTGAGATCACCCTGAGCACCCTGCCCTGCACAGGTCAGCTCTCTGCTGGGGGGCTTTGAAGACAGTGGGTGCACCCACATGAGACCAGGGGTGACTTAAATAAGGTGGTAACACAAACTGAAAATTAAAAATAAATTCAAGCTTCCAGCATTTAGAAGGCAGGCCTATGGAAGGCATTTCTCTGGCTGTGGCTGCTAGCAGTACATCCTCTTTTCTCTCCCTTGTGAGGATTTATTTTGCCATAATACCTACAAAAATTAAGAATCAGCTGACAGGCAGCAGGTTGGCAAACACCTCTGCAGCTAGTAGGTGAGGAACTGGCAGCATTTAGGCATGCAACTATTAACCCCAGCAACACAGCAAACTGCATGCTGGGCATCACCAACATGTGTTTCACTGTGCCCTTCCTGCAGGCTTTTTGTGCAAGGCTCATTTTCTTCAACAAGCTGATTTATAGCTCTGGAGTGACGAGGCCAAGTGGCACGTCAGTAACTGATCCCTGCTTTGTTTGGCTGTGGGCACAAAATCACACAGAGGTGTGCAGGTAAATGCATGTATTTAAGTAGTTCCTTTTCCTGATTGTTCCCTTTGCTTGGTGATTGTTGCTCTAGACTGGAAACATCCTAAGGTTCTGTAGAGCCCTGGGCTGAAAGTGGCCTTGGTCCTGCAGTGTGAAAGTTGGACAATATTTTCTGTGCATCCATCACTGCCAGCCTTCAACAAGCTTTTATAGAAGCTCCTTTGCAAGGCTGAAATATGGAAGCATGAACTACAGTGTTATTTTTGCCACTGAAATCTCCTGTCCTACAGAAAGGATGTCTCCCCCAGAGATGTGAAACCAGCATGAAAGGGCTCAAATTCAGCAAAACTCATCAGAGGTGCTCCACAAGTTAAGCACCTACTCAGATCCTTGGTGGAACTGGGACAGAATCAGGCATGTGTGAAGACAGTTTATTACCTTAAACACAGGATAAATATTCACCAGAATGTCGAAGGAAGGCAGGAAGGAGGCTGACTTCCACCCTCATGTGTTGTGGAGACCAGCTCCCTGGCAAGCTGAGCCTGTGCTAGTCCTTACCCAGTTTTGGTTTGACAAATCCATTGGTTATCCCAAGGTCATCAGCAGCCACTGTCTCCCCATTCACTACTCTGAGGATGGTGAACTCAGCAGCCAGCGTGTGCATCACGAAGGGCAAGTCTCGCTCACGTACCTGAAGGTGACACCAGGATTAGCTGGGGATGGTAGACACCAGAAGGGAGAACATGCTGTTGGTGAAGGTGACATACCCTTGGGGCACTGAAAAGTGGACACATGACTCCTGCTTGAGCCAGCAGGTGTGGAAAGAGAAAGACCACCTGGATGTGTGTCTAGAGAAGCACAATTGGTGATAGCACTGCAAGTAGCAGGAGGATTAAGTACCAGAGTGCTTTTAAGACTGTGGAAGGTGTATGGAAACTTTCCAGAGATGTTTCACCTCTTTGCCAGCATCCCTTCAAGAACTCAGCACTGCCTGTTCTTCAGCATTATTTCATAAGGAATTAAAGCCTATGTAGTTGTGTCCTTTGTGCATGCACACATGTGTGAGACAGCATGGCAGCCTGTTTGTCTAGCCCCAAAATGACCCTTGAGCCCCCTGACCATCATCAGCCAACCCGAGAGCAGACACGATGTTCCTCTAACTCTCAGCACACCAACCTCTGAGTGATGGTGGGACATGCTGCCAGTGCCTGGGACAGACTGCAGTGCAAGCTCAGCACTCTCATTAGACACAAAGAAACACCTCATCCCATAGGAAAAGCTCCTGAGATGTCAGCCTAACCACAAGGCACAGAGCTCTGGGGTAAGCAGACTTTGGTGCTCCTGATACCCCTCAAACAACTTATTCCCATAAATATGTCATTAAAACTCCTCAACTGAACTTTCAGCTGGTAGCAGATGACTCTGCTTGGTCCTCCCACATTCTCTTACCAGGATGAAGTCCGTCTGATAGGTGGAGAGCATGAACACTGAGATGTTTTGGTCAGCCAGTGGTGCTATTACTGACTTGGCGATTTTGGTGACTCCGATGGGCTGGGAGCCAGAGAAGCCACCTCCACCAGACACCACGTTGAGGGCCAGCCATGTTGCATCGGCCACGCTCAGGTGCTCTGAAGAAGGGAGCTCTGCAACAAGACAAGGGGAGGACAGAGGTTTGGTTTAGAGACAGAGGAAGCCAGGTCCACCCCATGCAGTTAGCAGAGACCGCAGTGGCAGCGTGTGGTACGCCCACCTATCCAGCCAACCTCCTGGGCTTCCCAGGCTGCTGTACAGGTTTGTATGGTGCCACTTTTCAGATACACCAATGGCATCAACTTCCACTGCAGGACTCATATAGGTTTTCAAGGACAACTCAGGGAATTACAGGAGTCTCAGCCATTCCCTTGGATGTTGGTGACCAGCACTACTGACCTCCCCATGTGGAGACAGCCTGAAGTCCTTAAATTAACTTGAATCTCCTCTATCCCACAGTTTCTCCAAATACTTAACTTGAGCATTTCTGGTCTGTTTTGTTTCTTTTTTCCTGCTCTAAACCCAAACTTTGTTCTCCTGGGCTTGAGATGGAGGTTGAAAGAGCAGCCTGGGCACTAGCCCAAGACTTAGAAGATGAAAAGCAGGCACCCAGGGATCTGTGTGCTGCTGCCTCCAGTCCTCAAGCAGAAGACAAGGGCCACACAGCTCTGTAAGGGATGGGTGGTATAACATACACACTACAGATGACAAGGTAATCAAGGACAAAGACAATGGCAATCTTTTTAAGAATAACCCCAGTTCCATTTTCCCCTAGTCTAGTGTTCTTAAGTAGTTAAAAATCTGTAGCTAAACCAATTAATACAAATTATTAACTGATTTTTAAAAACCTTAATGTATTAACAGCCTGTAAGCCCAGACGCGGACTCTGGAATGAAGGCATAAACTTCTCTAAGATCCTCTGGACTTTGGATTTTTGGTTTGGCAAATTATAGAAACAAACAGTTCAGACCCAGATCCAGACTTACAAATACATAACCCCAGTTAAATCTACTTGGCATAAGGAACTTGACCTCAGATGCAAATCCAGCCAGCAAAGACACAGTGGAGGTCCCAGAGGAAACCTACCCACTCTGCTGGGAGCTCAGACACAGCCCAGCAATCTGGAAATAGAAATCCCAGCATTGCTGCTCTGCCACCACAGGCAAACCACTTCATGTCTCCATACCCACATTTCCTACTCTGTCCACCCACTCCTGGCTCCTCTGTGCAGCCTCCTTTCCTTCTACTTCAGTAAGACCTCTGGGAGCTGTTTCTGTGCAGCTCCAGAAACCGTGTAATAAATACACAACCTCCCCCCCCAGTCCCCAGGCACCATCGCTGGGAGACGACGACAGTGCTGAAAACCCAAAATGGACTGAGGAACAAATACTGTTGGTTTTGCCCTCCTCAATAACCTCAATTGTGTGTGGCATGAAAATAACCCTCAGCAAACACCCTGCAAACAGCAGGGACGCAGAGGGTCCTGCTTTCTGCATTTTGATGTTTAGCTTCATGGGCCAATGTTTCTTTTTTACTGGATAATGAGAGCTTAGGTGGAATGAAAACTAGACACCAGGGAGAGTGGGTAAGTTTGTGCATTAATCAACAGTGTGTTACCTCAGAGAGACCAGTGCAAGTTGCTTGCAGAAAATCATTTTAGCAAAACACCATTTGCTAACCAGACAGCCCTTTGCATCAGAAAAGCACCCCGAAAACAAAGCTTATTGCACCAACTGGCATGGAGAGAAGCTAAGGCTCAAAACAACTGCTGCTGATCTAATAAGCAGCTGACGTCTTTTTTTCCTTTATTCCCACCTCTGCTCCTTGCCTGTGAAATAAATAAGGAGGGGAAAAAAAAAAGAAGTGTTCCTTCTTTGGACACACTTCTGCTCCCTGGCAGCACGGAGTGGGCAAGCACAGGCGAGGCCACCTGCACGTCACTGCTATTTACACTTCCATGTCCCACACCCCAAAGCCATTAAAGCAGCCAGGCAGCTACACCACAGAAAGGTCAAGTGACACCTTTCCTCTCTGCAAACCCACTCACAAACACCCCTGGTAGTGTGGCTGCTCCAGGACCTGCTCCAGCAGCTGGTCCTGTGCTGACCGACTCATCCCACCACAGTGGGCACAGCTGTGCCCAAGTTCCCTCATGACTCATCACCAGCAGCAAGAAGAGAACACAACAATTTCTCTCTCTACAAACAGAGCAGATGACGTTCCCACTTTGTAGGGGTGACGTGGGCCTGGCTGCACTTCATTAAATACCAGTTTCAGTTCTATTTTGGGCCAGGGGTGTGATGGAAGACGCAGTGTTGCATGGTGGACAGAAGCATTCTCAACTCTGCACTCCAGCAGCAGTGGTGCTGGAGGAGCTGCCCCACGAAGACCTCATCAACCTCTTTCTCAAGGGGCAGGAAGGGCCATTTGCTGGTTGCATTTGTAATTACTGCAAAGTGTTGATCCTGTTTGGTTTTATTTGTTTAGCTCATCCTATGAAGTGTGACAAGAGCCACTGCATTTGCTTAAGAAACCTGCCTCTCAGAATTCAAATACCTTGGCAAAAGAATATATAGTGACTGAAATATCAAGTTTGGACACTTTTTCCACTAGGCAGCCAGATGGAAAAGTACAGCCCAAATGTTAATGAAACAAACCCAGGCTGGAGGCTCAGCAAATTCAGCTCAATAGCATCAAACAAGCCATGTGGGTCAGTGGGCTGCCCAGGAGGCTATTAAACACAGGACACCTGAGGAGAGCAGAAAATCCAGGCGTTAAACATTTAACGCAGACCCAGTGAGGTGGAACAAGGTAATAAATAAAGAGCAAAATGAGGAATTGTCCATGTTTCTACATCAACCTGGCAAACACACCACCTCCACATCACTTCCCCCCCAGGAGAGTGGAGCTCCTCATGCCTCAGAGCCCCATCCCTGCAGCGTTTCCTGGTCTCGCATGCAGAATTGTTCCAGTTGGAAAAGGCCTCTAAGATCACTCAGTCCAACTGTCCACCCAGAAGGAAAACAAACAAGCAAACAACCAAAACAAACAAACCACCACCAAACAAACACCACTTCATGCCCGCTAGAGGATGTCCTGAAGTGCCACAGGTACATGTTCTTTGGATGCCTCCAGGAATGGTGACTCCACCACCTTCCTGGGCAGCCTGTCCCATTGCATGAGAACACAATGCTGGGCTCTCAAGATCCTCTGGCAACTGGTTTATCAGAGTGCAAGTCACTCCTGCTTCTGATCACAGGGGACATCTCACCTCTGGCTGAGAAGGACTTCTAAGAGGTCAGAGACTTGGGCTTTATTTCTTGTAATCAGGGTCTTTGTTTCGAATTTGCATTGGGGTGAAACCTTTAAATTTTTGTGGGTTTGCTATGTAACACTTTGCAGACCTCATGGTTCAGCTGCCCTCAGGCTGTAGCTATCACCTGCTGCCCATCATCACAGCCATTCTGAGAAAGGTCACAGACTCCAGCTATCACTTCTTCTACAGTAGCTGGCATGGAACCCCACCAAGAAGATGTGATCATCCTGATAGCCCAAGTGCAGCACTTATCTTGTGTACGATTCATCTGACAGCAGAACACCAGGTACCAACTGCTGAGGGTTCCAACAGTCCCTGGTACCACTTTCCACTTAGCACAGCAGTTTCTCTCATCCAAAAATTCTTCCCTGCATGACACCTGCAATGCCACCAAGCAGACAGACACATGCTATAGGGAACACAGCTCCTCCAAGGGAGATAACAGAATCACAGACTGGTTTGAGTTGCAAGGGACCTTAAAGATCATTCAGTTCCACCCCCCTGCATGGGCAGGGACACCTCCCACCAGCCCAGGTTGCTCCAAGCCCCATCCAACCTGCCCTTCAACACTTCCAGGGATGGGGCAGCCACAGCTTCTCTGGGCAACCTGTTCCACTGTCTCACCACCTTCACAGGGAATAATTTCTTCCTAATGTCTGACCTAAATCTCCCCTGTTCAAGTTAAAAGCCATTACTCCTTGACCTACCACTCTATAACCTTGTCAAAAGTCCCTCCCCAGCTTTCCTGTAGCCCCTTCAGGCACTGGAAGGTGCTCTAAGTTCTTCCTGGAGCCTTCTCTTCTCCAGGCTGAACACCCCAACTTTCCCAGCCTGTCTCCAGAGCAGAGCTGCTCCAGCCCTTGGATCATCTTTGTGGTCTCCTCTGGACTGTCTCCAGGAGCTCCATGTCCTTCCTGTGTTGCAGGCTCCAGAACCAGACACAGTACTCCAGGTGGGGTCTCACCAAAGCATACTAAACAAATGCCAAGCCCTGCTCAAGTGAAACACAACAAACATGTCAAATAAGGTTCAGGGCATGAGTTAAACTGCTTATTCCCACCATGGGTGATTAAAAAGGCCAAAGGTCTGTCTGGAGCATCACAGGCCCACCTGGCAGATAGAACTGAAGCAAAGCAGTCTCCATGGCTCACACCATCCTGGGATGTGAGGTGGTGAGTATCAGATTGGCCATAATTGTCTACTGAGCTCAAACAATCAATACCATTTCCAGTGAGGACAACAAACGTTGGCTGAAACCCAAGGAAGGCTTTAACTGCTGCTGTTGAAGTGATACAAAATGCTGTAAGCACGGCAAGCTGGTGCTCCACCAGGCACTCTTAAAATAGCTCTGGAAGGCTGCTGGCCAGATGATGAGCCTCCAGATCATGGGTCTTTGCAAGCAGCCAAGGTGGCCACAGAACACAGGGAAGGAAAGTCTCCTGGTTCACAGCCCTGACCAAAGAGTCAACCTGATGGGGTGAGTCTGCATAATGGTGGGAAAACAGCCTCTGTTTTCCAGCCTGGAGACCCCTCAGCCTCATGCAGAGCTGGAGGCAAAGCCCTGGGAGAGAGTCCTCCTGCTCTGAAGGAGCAATGGGAAAAGTGCAAGATGCTCTGAGAAAGTGCAACACCACCAGAACTTCTTCCTTCTTTCTGTACCTAATTTACATGGGTTCAAATTTCTCCTAAAAAGGTTCCAGTTAAGGAGGGACAACTGGTAAACACACAGTTCCACAGCAGAAATGCACCTCACCAACCCACACTGGTGTCTGGATCAGCACTGCCAACCAGAGATTC